CCCGGGTGAACTGTCTTCATGTAAACGCTCACCTCTTTTGTCTATCGTACAGACTTTCAACCCGGGCTGAACTCGACCCGGGTTGAAATTTCTCATGTAAACACAGCCTCCATCATTTTTTTTACGTTTCGGCAAAATTGCCCTCATAAGGATTATGCATTATTGAAAACGACGACCAGGCGCTGGGGACGTATTTATACGTCTTTCTGCAATGCCAAATACGGAGTGCAGAGCCTGGGTGCCATGACCTGTAACCTTAAATGGGTATGGGGAAATGAGTATGAGTTGTGGACAGCCTGGAACCTTTCTGTTTTTACAATAACACAGTACAGTACAGTGTTGTCGAGCGCCGAAGAACGGAGCGCCGAAGAACGAACTGGCTAGAATTTCACCAAGAGCAGCATACCAACGTGTACACGGTGACTCAACTGTGCATAGACTGTAATGCATTCCTCTCGCCCCCCCCCCCCTCCCATGGTGCTTGCTGTGTACGCCGATCCCGAGACCCTTGGTCGGGGGAGTCCACTGCATCTCACCAGCGCAGCTCATGTAGCGCCTACACACCCATTGTTGTCTTTTTTGTTTCGTCTTCGCTTTGTCTCCCCCTTCTTTCGTATGTGCAATGTGATAAAAAAATAAAAAAATAAAAAAATACATGAAAATAAGAATGGTCTAGGCTAGGAGGATGACCCCCTAGTTCTTCGGTGACCGACAGTACTGTACGGATGGCATGGCAACCAGCATACCTGGAGTGCTCCGAACATGTGGTACCAGAAGGTCATGCGGCAACCCGCGCCAGTGCGCTGGAAGAGCGTCGACTGGTAGTTGGCGAACGCACCGTAGAACTGGCCGACGGCATTGGCATACATGTAGAAGCCTTGGATATGGCAAGGGGAAAGGAAAAAAAAGAAAAAAACCAAAACGGACACGTCACGTGTGTCAAGCATTGTTGCAGACCGGCCCTTACAAAGCTCTGCTGAGTGTTCTGTGGGTCTCAGTTTGACCCTGGCTTCAGCCAAAACCCGATCACGCAGACTGTTCCAACGTGCCACCGTGCCGAAGTGGAACACACAACCGTACAGGATGCATACAGATATCCCCGTGAAAATGCATGCAAACGTTTTGGTCAGAGCGGCACACCCAGGAGGGTTGAACAGTCCCCTGCGTCTACACAGCAAAGTGCGCTGAGTCTAGTACAACGTCACAATCCCTAACCCAAATTCAGCAGATTTGAACTAAGCATGCATAGCACAAGTTACCTTGTCTAGTTCCCTTGGTGTGATCGACAGATGGACCGGTGCCGGCTGTGGCCGTGAAGCCAAAGTGCCTGGCCCAGACCAGATCGCGGAAGATGGCGTTCTTCCAGTTGCACTGGCCGCTCTCAAAGTCACATGGCTTGGCTGCAAGGGAGAACATGGGAGCGAGAGAGAGAGAGAGAGAGAGAGAGAGAGAGAGAGAGAGAGAGAGAGAGAGAGAGAGAGAGAGAGAGAGAGAGAGAGAGAGAGAGGAGAGAGAAAGAGAGAGAGAAAGAGAGAGAGAAAGAGAGAGAGAAAGAGAGAGAGAAAGAGAGAAGAGAGAGAGAGAGAGAGAGAGAGAGAGAGAGAGAGAGAGAGAGAGAGAGAGCAGAGCAGAGCAGATATGAGAGGGAGCAGGAGAGTTGCAGGAACTTTGCACAGCACAGCTAGTACCAGAGAGAGTTTCCACTGCACCAAGGGCATCCGCTTAAGATTTTACTGTATATATGCATCTATGCCGTCAACACCGGTCTAGAAGAACATGGTGGAAAAATCCCCCTTCCCACCATAGGCTCTTACAGGGAATACAGCAAGATAACTAAGACAAGGGTTCGACGGGCTTCTCGTGGGCTCCAGACACAGTCGTGAGTCAGTCAAGTGTCAAGCAAGTCGGCAGGAAGCGCAAGCTCCGGCGTTCGGAGCAGACACTATCTTCAATAACTCAGACAGCAATTCATATGAGCAAGGAAATGAGTCTAATACAATTGTGTGATATGTGAACAACGTACAGCAGGCATCCTCGTCTTCGCTGGAGCTACCGCAGTCAACGTTGAAGTCGCACACTTGGCGCGAGTCGATGCAGATCTTGCTCTTGAAGCAGTACCATTGGCCAACGGGGCACTTGGGCGGAGCTGCAAACACACACAGACAGACACACACAGACACACACATACACGCACACACACACACACACACACACACACACACACACACACACACACACACACACACACACACAGACACACACATGGTTAAACTTCACCTAGGGTTCCCAGTAAAAAGGCAGTAGCCTGTTGAGACTCCCCTAGTAAAATAATAAAAACGACTACAAGTACTAACTACTACAAACACGCACGCACACACACAAACACGCACGCACACACACAAACACGCACGCACGCACACACACGCACACACACGCACACACACAGCAGAAAGCCTAGCACAGGAAACCTTCTTACGTGTGGTGGGCGCCGGGCCGAGGA